CCCCAAAACCCCAAAACCCCAAAACCCCGTAAGATCATATATAGTTAAATAAATTGATTTGGTATTAACAATGAATAAATATTGACTAAATTGATTTTTGAGTAGTATTTAATAAGCACTATATTAAACATTTGAAAGAGGATCCAGTATATACTCAAGCATATGAGAAATTCACAAAAATCGCCTAAATCAAGTAAAAACAATTCCTAGTCCTCCCAGAAAATTATGATTAGCTCCAATATTTATAATAAAAAGGATAGCTTGCTATCTGAGGGTAATAATCCTTTAAAGGAGAATGCAATTGAAGACTTTCTCGATTAGTAGTAAAATTCTAACTATTTATATTCCAAAAAAAGTGATGAAGAATTAAAAGAAGATGATGATTTCGAGTGTTTAACAAATAAAGAATTCCAAAGGGCAATGTAAAAGCTTAAAAATAGGGGAAATAATGCAGTGCCCCCAAAGAAATCTGCCTCGGCATATATATTATTTGGAAAAGATGTAAGCATCAATATAAGCTTAGGTAATATATAGAAAAGAGGGGAGATTTTGAAGAGAAATCCTAAAACAAAAGTAACCGAAGTTGTCAAAGAGATTGCCTAGTCGTGGTCTGTCTTGCCAAAGCAGGAAAAGCAAAAATATAAGGAAGCTTCAAAGCGAGGTAATCATGACTATTATAAATAAAGTTTTATCTTATTTTATACTTTTATAGACCGAGAAAGATATGAAAAGGAGTTAAGAACACTCGAGTCATTTTCAACGAATCTGAAAAAGCCTAAGAAATGTCTATCAGCATATATGATATTTGTTAAAGAAGTAATACAGATAGAATTAAATTTAATAGACTCGTCCTAAAATAGTTGAAAATAATCCTGAAATGGGGGCTCTTTAAGTAATGTAGGAGATAGGCAAACAATGGTAGGCGATGACTGATGATTAGAAAAAATACTTTTCAATCAAGGCGGATAAGGACAAAGTAAGGTACCTATGTGAGCAAAAAGCATTTTATGATGAAGTGGAAAAAGTCGGATAAACACTAGGTACTACGATAAATGAAGAAGGTCAAGTCACAATAGCCAGTACTAAATGTTAATTATAAAGACATAATAAAAAGAACATTCTAAATTAGGACCTTAAGTAACACCAAGGGGAAATGTCTATACTCTAGAAAAGGAATTCAAGTGATGTAACTAGCTAGACTTAAAAACTAGGCAACATAACTAAGAGGCAAAAAACAGGCATTATTTGCTAAGGTTCTGCCAAAAAACTTAAGGACATTAAAGGATTCAATTCAGCACCTTAATAAGAAGATTAAGATGTCGATTCTTGTGCTAAATATCAAATAGGCTGCTAGAAAACCTAAATTATTAGAACTATTTCGCTTGTTAATGAAAATAAACCTAGACGCCCTAAGACAGCATAGATTTACTTCTAAGAGGAGTTTCGAGAGACCATAAAAAGGAGACTTCCTTTCTTGACTGAGGCTTAGATAACAGGAGCAATCAATTTCAGATGGGAAAACTTGTCTCAAAATGAGAAATAGCCATTCGAGGAAATAAGCGAACAAGATAAGATACGATTCGAAGGGGAGTGTGCAATGTATAAATAGAGTAAGTTCCAAGGAAAGTCTGTTATCCTGAAACTCTCACACAAGAATCAACCTGATACTCTTAATGCCATTCAAATCAACGATGATCTTCTTGTTTTTCTTGAGATCAAGCAGAAATCCATAGACAATGATAAGTCTGATGTAACCTAGAATTCTGTCATTTCAGGTGATTCACTGCCTGAAAAGGATCTGTAAGTGGAGATAGAATGCTCTCAAACAGATTTGGAATAAATCGAGGAGAAGTAGGATTATGATGAGCAGGAATCATATGGAAATGAAATAGGAGATGAAAATCAGGAATAAGATTCTGAAAACGGAGAAAATCTAGGGTTTCCAAAACGTTCATCTAGTATCCTCTAGATCAAAGATTCGAGTACTAATGGAAATGGAAATTTCAAAATTATCATTGGAAATAACATTGAAGATGTCTCTAACTCTGCAAAACTTGAGCAGAGTAAGGTTGAGAGGGAGGAGGTCATAGTATAAGGTATGCCATAATTGATCGCTAACAAACCTTCAACCACAAATGAGAGCTCCCATTAACAATTGTAACTAACATCACCCCATTAATAGCTTCTCTAAAACTACCAGGTGGTTTCAGGACCATTTAACTCAGGTCAATATATCCAGCAACTATAAGATGGTTAGTAAATCATTGTCTCGGGCAATGATCTTCCTCAGTAGAGCTAAACGGGCATAATGGAAAGATAAATTATTTTAGATCCATCTTAGAATATTTACTAAAATCAGCAAGCTTTAATATACCATCAGAATTAAAGCTAATATTCAAATTTAATGCAAATTGGTCCTAAGATTTAATTTTAGCCTGGTAACTTTATAGAGGAACAACTTTAACCCTAACTTACTTATATAATTTAACAGCAAGGTATTCCCCAGAGTTATAGTGGTACAATCATGAGTACCACTGATGGTAGCAGTGTTTCTGGCCAGTAATCTCAGGGACCTAACCAAAGCTAAGTGAAAAATCCTTAAATTTTTCAAAGGGGACCTCAATTTCAAGGAAATTAGCATAGCGGGTATGTTATTCAGGACATGGGAGGATAGTTCAACTATCTCTAAGGAAAATAATCTCAAATCATTATGAATCCAAATTAGACGGGGATCTAAATGATTTCACCTTTTGGTCAGATGGAATATTAGCCATACCAGAATTAACACCAGCAATTTATAGGTCTCTAGAGCAATAATCAAATATAGTAATACAATGAATAATTGATGGCTTAGCCAGGACTAGGGTTGAGTTCACAATAAATTTTACCAACTCAATTCTAATTATAGCATTAACTTTAACTCCAGCAGCAACTTCAAGGGTTACAACCCCCTTACAGCTTACAGTAATATAATTAAGGATATCAATTAAACTTGGCAGGAATGCCAAATGTTTAAGGAATATACTAAGAAAACCTAACACCAAGTGCAGGTATGCATTAAGACTCACCTGTGCAAACTGATTTTAATTTGCAGGGACAAAGACAAATGGCGGCTACATAGTCAGCCACTTTTGCCCGAAACAGCAATCATACTCCTTATAGATGAAAATTATTTGAATAATTACTATTAGCTTGAAATATTAGCAAGCATCAACCTTCAATTGATTACACAAATTTACTCAAACTTCAATAACTGTTAAATTTAGAAAATTTTAATCTTAATTTCATTCATTCATATTTCATGAATTTTGACTCACGGGGTTTTGGGGTTTTGGGGAGATCGGAAGAGCGTCG